ACCCTCCGTGGCTTAGCCAGGCCAGAGAGCCCAAGGACAAGGGTGCATCTACCCACCACCCACAGGTTTCAGGGGATGGTTCGGGCTAGGGAGAGAGGAGCAAGCAGGTGGGGCCCCGTGCTCGGAGAAAAGTCTCACCTGGAAGTTGCCAACAACAACCAGGCCAGCAGCATTGAAGCAGCCAGTGATGAGAGCCATGGTGTTAACCCAGGACCGATGACTTTGCTCCAGCAGCTGGCCATAACGGAGAAGGCAGACCAGTGCCACTGTGGAAGGGGATGCAAAGTGGTGCTGATTGACCAGGCCACGGTCTGGCAACTAGCATTTATTAAGCACCTACTGTGTGCTAGGTGGCACAGTGGATAGAGCACTGGCCCTGGAGTTAGGAAGACCCAAGTTCAAATCTAGACAGATACTTGACACTCACTAGCTGTGTGACCCTAGGCAAGTCACTTAACCCCAGATTATGGGGGGGGGGGGACAGAACAGTCTGCTCTCGAGCAGCAACCAGTCTAAGGGTTGCAGGGCAGTCAATAGACCCCTAAACACAGCCTCCCTCCTCCCTCCACCAAACACAAGCAGGTAGCACAGGGGCTTAGAACGTGGGTGTGTCCCCTCTGGCTCCCTGAGGAAGGGCCCAGGCCTTGCTGCCCCTGCTCCAGGAGGCCAAAGCAGAAGGTCCAAGATCCATCCAGCGGTTCCCACTTGATGGCTTTTTCAATAGCTCCAGAGTGGGATGGGTAGTTGATGATAAACCCTTTATTGAGTAGTTGATAATAAACCACTCTTTCTTGGACTTAAGTCAGGCTGGAGGTGAGGATCAGGTAAATAAGCTGTGTCAGCCTTTAGCCTTTGTGGGGCAAAAAAAGGAAACCCCCCCCCCCACAAAAGTGCATTTCATCCCTCACCTGGGATGCAGTTCGGTCACCCGATTGTGATAAAAGTAGCAGCAGATGGGGCATAAAGCAGCTCCCTCCCAATGAGGGGGCTGGGGTTGGGGCCCTTCCCTGCATGCCCTCCCTTTAGGGGGCAGGGAGGAAATCCAGAGGGGAAAAGAGGGGCCACAGATGGATGGGAAAGGAATGCAAAGGAGCCACTTACCCATGAAAGCACCCACGTTGCCTATGAGGCTGAAGAGGCAGCTCTCAGGGGGGTATGTGCCACATTTACTAGAAAAGAGGAGTAAGGCAAGGGGGAAGGAAAAGGCAGTCAGCACTGGCAGGTGTCTTTCCCCACCCCATCCCACCCCTTCCTTCTGTAATTCAGGCCTTGATCTCCCTAATTGCAGGCGACTCCCCTCAAAGGCTGGTACATTATTTTATGCCACTGTGAAAGCTGGGATAAAGGGTAGGGGATTTGTGCTAAAGAGACCCGCAGGGGCTCGACAGCAGCAGGCAGTGTCCTCAAAGATTCCAGATGGTCTGGCCTCCTTGGGACCTGCTAGGGTTGCAGACTGGGCCAGTGCATCCAGTTGGGTTTGGGTGGGCTGCTGCACAGGTCCAAGGAGGGGTTGGTGGACAGGCTATGCCATGTTCTCCCTGGCCATCCCCCGGCCCCCTTCAGGGGCCTCACCTGATGAGGGGAATGTCCTCCAATGTGCAGCAGCTCTTGGGACCACCCTGTATGTCGGGGTCAGTGGAGCAGGACTCATTGTAGGACCTGGTGGGGAGGTGGGACAGGGAGCAGACTGGGGCAAAGAGGATTCTCTGCAGCCCGCCTCCTTCACCTGGAGCCTGGTCAGAGTATGCCTTCTCCAGGCCCTCCCCCAACGATCCCTCCCTCACCAAAAGCAGAGAAGAGTCCCTTTCTCTCCACTATCCTTGAGAGATAGAAACCAGTGGGGAGAAAGGGCCTTGAAAGGAAGAGGGGGGATTTGGTGGGAGAGAGGGTAGGTAGGCAAGATGCCATGCCTGGGGAAAGGGTGGGTGATGCCAATATCAGAGGACAGCAGTAAGGCCCAGGGTCGCCATCTGACTCCTGCCAGCCCCCGAGCCCACAAAAGGAGCAGAGACGGAGGAAGCCTTTAGAAGGAGGGTGCCAGGACTGTTCTTCATACCAGTTCTCCACAGGACACACATGGTGGTTCATCAGTGCCATGGCATACCTGCAAGAGCACACAGGGGTATCACCTGCTTTGCGCCCACCCTGCCCTCTGCACCTGGTTCATTCACCTAGCCCTCCTCTCTGTGCCTCACCACACAGCCAGACACTGTAGGAAGTGCCGGCCAGGGAGGGATTGGAAAGCCTGGGGTCCTAGTGAGGCCTGCAGCTCGGGCCAATTCCACCTGGCCTTGACCAGTGCCTCCTCTCCAGCAATTCCTTCTGGTGATCAGGCTTAGGGAGAGCAGCGCTGTCCTGCCTAGTGCCTGTGGTGCCAGTTGGTCCCAAGAGTGGCGGGTAGTTGGGAATTTGTGCCCAGGCACAAGGCCAGGCTATGGAGACACCCCCAGCAGTTCTGAGTACCAACACCACAGTCTACAGCAGGACAAGGGACCTTGTGTGTGGGAGCAAGCTGTTCTTCTGTCCCGCCTCAATCCTGTTCCTCTTTGGCCCTGGCCCATCTGCCCCTTCCCTTGCCTCCTCTCCCCCACTCATGTCTCTTCTCCTCCCCTCCCACTTGTTTCTCCCCTTCCTTTACTCACACAATCCATATGCCAGTGATGGAGAAAGCTGAGAGGCTGACAGGGAGGATGACCCAGGCGGTCATGAGGGAGGGGAGCCAGGGTGGGGAAGGGGTGGGGGGGCAGGATCAGAAGTGGTGAAGCAGGGGGCCCAGCTACTTCAGGACGCTTCAACCACAAGCATCAGCCTGGGGGAGAGAAGGATGAAGTAGGTCAAGGGACTGTGCCGGAACAGCAGGTGGGGGGGGGGGGGTAGCCTGGCCAATGGAACAGGCTGAGCCTCCGAGATGGGCTGAGCCCACGTACTGTGGCACATTCCTCTTGGCATCCAACAGCCTCCCCACACACCTCCCCCAAATGTCCCCCCACACCTAACAGCGACCCTCCAGCCCTCCGGCGGGCCGCAACATCTGGAAACGGTCCGCCTTTGTGCCGAGGGTCAAGGCCACCCCGGGGACAGCCCAGAGACGGAGAAAGTGCCCTGGGGCAAAGTTAGACTTGGCAAGGGACGGTCCGAACAGCGGCGAAGGGGGCTCCCGCTAACAAAGGCCTGGGAAGGCCAGCGCTGGGGGCTGAGCGGGACGCCGGGCAAGTCAGGTGGGGACGGGCAGCAGGAGGACCGAGGTACAATCGGACCTAACGGCGGGATGGGGGTGGGGGTGTACGGGGGCGGGCACTGCGAAGAAGCCCGCCCTCCGCACCCCAGCCAGAAGCTCGGCCTGTCTGAGGACTGGGGGACCCCCAGCTCCGGGCGGAGCCCTGACCTCGGAGCTGAGCGCGCAGCCCGCAGGAAAGTTCCTGCCCAGCAGGAGCTGCCCGGGCTGCAGGGAGCAGAGCCGAGCCTAGCCTCTCTGGGGGGAGCCGAGCTGCTCCTCCAAGAGCTAAAGCGCATGGGAAGGGAGGACCAGGGGAGGAGGGGGGATCCGGAGGCCAGGTGGGGATGAGGGGTCGGGACTGAAGCGGGGCAACTCCCTGTGGGCGGGCGGACCGGTCTCGGGCTCCCCCCGCCCTGCCCCCTTACCGGCCGCCGGACCCCCCAAGCGCCGCTCTCAGCCGCCGTCCCTTTGAACAGCCCTTTAAAGGATTTAAAGAGCCGGGGCCGGTCCCTCCTCTCCCCTCCCCTTCCCTCCCCTCCCCGCCCCTCTGACCAGGGCGGTCGCCGCACCGCCCGATGGGACCTGGAGTCCTCCCGCTGGCAGGCGCGGGGGGCGGGGGGCGGCCCCGGACTACAAGTCCCGGCACCCTTCAGGCCGAGGAGGTGCCGCTGGGGGCGGGCGGCCCCGGCCGCCCCCGCACAATGGCCCTGGTGGGCCGCCCCCCGCGGCGTGGGACTGGCCAGCCGCGGGGACCCGAATCCGGCTAGGAAATGCCTGCGGAGGAGGGGGCGGGGCAGGGCGCGTACTCCAGGCAGCCACTGCTTGAGTATGGGTCCTGGGGGAGGGTCTCCAGGGAGACCCAAGGTCTAGTCCCAGCCCTTCCCTGGGGCCACTCATTCCACTGCAGGCTGGATCTGCAGCTGAAAGGGATCCCAGAGGCCATCTGGCCCAACCTCCTCTTTTACAGCTGAGGAAACTGAGGTCTAGAGAAGGTAAATGACTTGTCCAAGGTCACACAGAAAGTAAAGCAGAGTTGGCATTTGAATCCAGGCTTTGTGACTTTAAGGCTGACGACTTCAATTCCTCTTCTGTCAAATGAAGGCTTTGAACTAGATCCTCTCCGAAGTCATGGGACCGTTTAGGTCTGGGAAGGGACTTTACAGGTCATGCGAAGCTACTATCTCGTTTTACAGTTGTAGAGACTGAGGTACAGAGCGAGAAAACAACTTGCCTCAGATAGTAATTATCAGCTCGGGAGTCTTCTGGCTCCAGAGCTGCATACCCTTGGGGAAGACGTGGGTTTTAATCCCACCCCGATACTTGCTAGCTGTGTGACCCCGGGCAAATTGCTTTCCTGTTCTGTGCTCGAGTTAGCTCCAAACTGATGATTCTACAATACAACGCATTGCACTGTCTTCTTAGTCCTTCCAAGTCCCCATTCAGTGATAACATTTTATGAACCTGTCAACTTGGAACATTTTCAAACTCAGCCTTGGGCAAGTCACTTCACTGCTGCCTGCCTCAGTTTCCTCAAGTGTAAAATGGGGATAATAACAGCACCTACCTCCCAGGGTTGTGGGGAGGATCAGATAAGATAATATTAGTAGGCACATAGTAGGCACTTAAATGCTTTTCCCCTCCACGCCCACCCCCCCCCCCCAAGCTGGATAAATGTCTTGGGCCCCCTGGGATTCTCTAAATACTGACATGCTCGCATAACTCTCAACCCCCCCCCCTCCATTAAGGCACCCCTCTCTTCTCCGATAACATCTTCTGAGGTGACAAATCCACTCCAGGGAGGACCTCTAACAAACGGTTACAGCTACAGCCTTTGGTTAGATTTTCTTCATAGAGCAGGGCATGTACCTGAACCTGCTGGAAGGCTTGTAGGAGTGTGATAGTGATTCAGCATATTGGTGTTTTATTTTTAAACATCTATTCGGATGTGGTATGTGGAATGGCTGGAAAGTTAATACCACAGACAGGGCCCTGCCTGCCAGGGGCTTGCCCTCCAAACGTACAAAGATTGTCAGCAGCCTTACTCTCTCTGTTAGGATAACCTTACGTTGTTGTTATGTTGTTATTCAGTCTTTCGAGAGTCCATTTAGGGTGGCAAAGATACTGGAGTGGTTTGCCATCTCCTTCTCCAACTCATTTTCAGATGAGGGACCTGAGGCAAACAGGGTTGACTTTGCCAGGGTCACATAGCTAGTAACTGTCTGAGGCTGGATTTGAACTCAGGTCTTCTTTACTCCAGGAACACTCTATCCACTTCACCATCTGGCTGCCCTAAGATAACCTGATAATCCATTTAATTGTTGAATTCAATTATTATGGGTGAGGAAAGGGTTAATAAAGACTCTGTTCTGGGAAGCAAGAAGAGGGAGAGGGGCCCAGAAGAATTTAAAAGTCTTGAGAAAAGGAACTGAAAAGTCAGGTGTTCCTTTTCTATCAGTGACTGAATGAAGATGTTTGTCCATGGAGATGCTTTCGTGGGAAGGTCTGGAAGAAATTACTCACAGGCTCGTTTGATTTAGAGCTGGAGGGATGATTGAGCCCATCCTGTTTTACAGATGAGGAAACTGAAACCCAGAGAGTCTGTGACTTGCCTGTAGTAGGATTCAAACTCAGGTCCTCTGACTCTGGATTCTAGGCCTTTTCTATTCTACCACACTGTCTCTCTATTTCTTCTACTAGTTTCTTCCCAGATTTTAGAGCTACTTTTTTTCTTTGAGGTAATCAGGGTTAACTGACTTGCCCAGGGTCACTCGGCTAGTAAGTGTCTGAGGTCTGATTTTAACTTAGGTCCTCCGCACTCCAGGGCTGCTATTCTATCCACCGCACTACCTAGCTGCCCCTAGAACTATTTCTAAAAAGAAACTTGATAAAGAATATATAGAATGTTTAAAAAAAATTACCATACTTTTTTTTTCTTGTACCTAAGTCTGCTGTGGCCCCTCATGAAAGAATCCTGGGTGCCAAGGTGCCATGGAGACTATATGGAGAAGCTGCTGAATTTGGTCTATAGCTGAGGACTCAGCTTTCTTTAACCAAACCTAAAATGTTCTAATGAAAGTGGGACATGAAAAGGGTCAGAAGAGGGCCTGGCGAAGAGCAGTGACTTGGAGTTTATTTGACAAGGGCGCCAGGGCTTAGAAGAAACCTTGGGAAAGAATAAGAAGCAGCTGGGACAGGGGCAAGGGGCTGTCTCCAAACTGAGTGAATTGTAGGGATGATGTAATTACAAAGGCTGAGATATAGGAGGTGAACTTTTGGTTTCAAAGGTATAGATAAGAAAAGAAATCCCTTCTTTCAATGGAGTCCCCATTCTCTACAGCATCTAGCCATAAAGACTTGCCTAGAACATTGAGAGGCTAAGACTTGTCCAGGGTCACATAGCCAGCACCTCACAGAGGTGGTACTTGACTCCAAGGCCAGCTCCCTACCCCCTGCTCTTCTTACAGACACAGATAAAGCAGTTAAAATAACAAACTGGTATCTGATCTTCTCTCTTAACTCTTCGGTTAAACAACTGGAGATTGCTAATCAGTATTGAGTGAATGGCAGTGATTGGTACTTAACACAAAAGAAGAACCCACCTAAATCTCCACTGTGTATGTATCTGAAGAAGGGAGCCTACCATGAGAGGGAGAGAGCACCCTCGGGGTCAAAGAGCTGTTTTAGATTAGCTGTCTTATCGAAATCAAGAAAGGTCTCCAAAGGGGTCCTGTTAGATTCAACAAACATTAATGTACTAGGAAGGCTCCGTGCTGGGTGCTGAGGAAACGACTCAAACCAGAACAGTCCCTACCTTCAGGATGCTTGCAATCTAAAATCCTCAGAGGTGTGGTGAGGAGAAGAATACAACAGAAATGAGCAAATACCAATTCTAGAGAAAGAATGCTAATAAGAAGGGGGTAGGAGGGATAGAAGTCCTGAAGATTGAGTAGGAAGTTTCACCTGAGCTGTTCTTTAAAGGAGGCTAAGGATTCTATGAGACAGAATTTCAAAGCAGAGCTTGGCCTGTGCAAAAACCTCGAGAGCATCTGAAGAGGAACTGCTTTCAGAGGTTAGTTTTGCTGGAACAGAGTGAATGTCTGTGGAGGGAAGGAAATATGCCTGGAGAAAGAAGGGAGGGAAGCAGACTGTGAGAGACCTTCCGCACTAGGTTGAGGCTTTGGTATGTTATTTGAGAAGCAATAAAGAACTGCTGACAGTTTTGACATCCAGATCAGATCTCTGTTTAAGGGAAGTTCTATTTAGCAGCGGTATGACTGACAGATTGGAGAGGAGATGGGATAGAAGATAAGGGGTCCACTGGAATAGCCCAGATCAAGGGTGATGGGGGCCCGAGCAAGGGCACAGGTCATTTGTGTGCAAAGGAAACAGATGAGAGACGTTGTGGAAGTAAGAGTGACGAGGCCTGGCTGCTGATTGGATATGGCAATAGTGGGGAGGGATAAATCAGGGATGGCTCCCAAGAATGAAAACCAGGCTGGGTGACTGTGAGGATGAAGGAAGACTCGGGAGGTTAAGTGTCGGCCTCATGAGGGGGGAGTGATGTCAGATCTTAACCTCAGAGCTCACCCAGGGTCTGGCATAGGACTCCGTAAACAATGCTTAATGTTTATTGAATCTCATTGGAACCACAAAGCAGCAAGTCTTTCACAAATGGTTTTGATTCTGTTGCATTGAATGACCTTGGAGGAGTCATTTGACCTTTCCTTTCCTCATGCAAAATAACTTTTTTCTAAGGCACTGATTACTGCTAAACTACCTCCTGGGGAAAGTAAGAACAAGATTAAGTGGTTATAAAATACTTTTTATAGTATTTTATATTTTATAGCATAGTAAAAGAAAGTTCTGGGAGAGAAAAGGTAGATTTGTATTTTATATATATGTGTGTATACAAATATATGTATCCATAGTATAAAAAGTATCTTCTGCCCAGCTTCTCAAAGTTTTCATGTTTAGCATCTCAGTCATCTTCCCAACAACCCTGAAAGGAAGGGAGGGAGCTGTCATGTATATTTAAAAAATGGGACAATTGGGGAGTACCTGCCTGAATTGATTCTTTAAAATCATAAAAAAAATTAGTCCACTCTCCTTGCCTTCATGCCCAGGAAGAGATGGAGAATCACTTTCACTTCAGGTTCCTCCAAACCCTTGGGAGGAGTTGGGGGGGCAGTTAATGGCTACATTGTCATTTAATTTCTGGCACTCAGATGCAGTGACTCATTAGAGACTTGTAATCGTGTTTAAACTGAATAGGGTGAAAAAAACAAAGGAAGGAAATAGATGAGGCGGCAAGAAGAACAGGGGAAGGGACATGCCCAGAAGATGTATTTAAACTCAAGATCCAGGGAGATGGCTTTCAAGGCATTGGCTGCACTGGACTGGGAGGCTCTGTTGTTTGAGAATTGATCCTGCCCATTTCTCTGGGCTTTGGAAGCTCACTTCTGCAAAGGTGCCGGCTT